ACAACAAGCATCACTAGCCAAGACTCTGGCATCCCGAGCCATTGATGTGTGTTGTGTTTCAGAAACACGCATACAAGACCCAAGTGTGGTTATTCACCTAACCCCACCTGGCCAACAGGTTGAATCTGCAAAATTCACATTGAGGGTGTCAGGAGATACCACAGCTAGTTCAAGAGGATTAGCTGGTTTAGGGATAGCTTTGAGTACTAGGGCAGAAAAGACATTACTTGACTGGATCCCGGTAGATAGCCGAATGTGTGCTGTCCGTCTGAACGGATCAGTAAAAAGGAGAAAGGACTGCACTGCTTGCCGATGCCTTTTCGTAATCTCCACCTACGCCCCCACTGACTGCAGTTCGGATGAAACGAAGGATGAGTTCTACCAAAAGCTGTCTAGTTTGCTGCGAAAGGCTAAGCGCTCAGATATAGTCGTTCTAGCTGGTGACTTTAATGCTCAAGTAGGGAAATTGTGTCAATCTGAGAAGGATGTCGGTGGCACCTATGGAGTCCCGTGCCAGCGAACTGACAACGGTAACCGTCTCCTACAGTTCTGTTCAGATAATCATTTGTTTCTTGTAAGCACTAACTTCAAACACAAGGAGAGACACTGTTTGACCTGGCGACCCCTTTCAACAAACCAACGCTGGACACAAATAGACCACATAGCAATAAGCTATCGTTGGCGTGGATCGGTAGGAGATTGTCGCTCCTTCTGGAACACGTGTGTAGATACCGATCACGCACTGGTCCGCGCTCGGGTGTTCTTACGACTGAACGGACGTAGAAAACAGCTGGCGGTAAACTCATCACGTCCCCAGCTCCATCAGGAAGCTAAATCCCCATTCGAGGAAGAACTAGCTAAACACATATCTGAGTTCGACAGCTGTGCTCACCCTGAAGAAGCTTGGGAGAATATTCAGTCAGCCATAGATACAGCTGTAAAAGCTGTGAATAAGGTAAATCCAAAGGTGGGTAAAAACCATTGGATCTCTACCGCCTCATCCGAACTGATTGATGCTAGAAGACTTATTCCAGTGAGCTCTGAATTCAATGAGGAGCGAAAGCTACACTAAAGGAAACTTACGAAAAGTCTCCGCAAGGACCGTGAACAGTGGTGGGTAACAAAGGCGAAAGAGATGGAAAAAGCATCGGCGATAGGCAACACTAGGCAACTGTTTAGACTCATCAGGGAAACGGGTAGGAGAAGGCAAGTCATAAGTGAAACAATCTCGGAGAAAAATGGCACCATAATTAGCTCTCAAGATAGACGACTGAAACGCTGGAAAGAGCACTATGAAGAGCAGTTTAATTGGCCCACAGCCACGCTCAACCTGCCGAGCATCCAACACCTCCCTGAATAGGATATAGACACAGGTCCTCCTTTCCTAACTGAGGTTACTAAAGCTGTCACCGATCTGAAACAAGGCAAATCAGCGGGACCTGATGGAATGACTCCAGAGGTATTTAAGTACGGTGGAGACAGTTTACTGTCTGCATTAAATGAGGTTCTAGGCAGCGTCTGGGTATCAGAAGAAGTCCCATCGGGTTGGTGTAAGTCACTGATTATCCCCATATACAAGAAAGGAGACAAGTCTTCCTGTAATAATCACAGAGGGATTAGCTTGACTAATATAGTATCTAAAGTCCTAGGCTCAATAATAATGCGTAGACTAAGTGGTACTCGGGAGGCACAAACACGAGAGAACCAGGAGGGCTTTAGGCCAGGAAGAGGGTGTATTGATCATATCTTCACCCTCCGACAGATTCTAGAACATAGGCATTCTTACCGGCGCCCAACAATCACTATATTCCTTGACCTAAAGGCGGAATTCGATTCGGTCGACCAATAGGTACTCTGGAGATGCTTGGCTGTAAAGGGAATGTCGAGAAAATACATTGCACTGATTGAGGCACTCTACTCGTACTCATGTAGCCAGGTGAGGGCTTACGGTGAGTTGTCATCTGAACTGGTGACGACTAGTGGTGTCCGTCAAGGATGCCCATTACCCCCTTTTCTATACAACTTCATCATAGATGTACTAATGGACTTAACCCTAAATGACTTCAGCGACTCAGGGATTGACTTTGTTATGTACTGGTCGAGAATTTAATAGTCCTGACGCAAGAAAGACGGAAATCAGAAGACCACTAGGTTTGCGATGATACTTCTATTTTCCAAACAGAAGGAGAATCAATATCACACAAGTGTGTGAGAGCAAAAATATAAATGACCGAACAAGTGTGTATACACAAGTGTGTGAGCTCATGTAGCCAGGTGAGGGCTTACGGTGAGTTGTCATCTAAAAAGGTGAAAACTAGTGGTGTCTCTCAGGGATGCTCACTATTTCCACTTCTATTCAATTTTATCATGGATGTACTAATGCAATTAACCTTAAGTCACTTCAGAGACTCAGGGACTGACTTGTTACTAGATAATAATCTCGTTGACTTAGCATATACGGATGATATAGTCGTTCTAGGTGAAGACCCTGACAAAATGCAGTCTTCTGAACACCTTGAGCTGCAGTCTTCGAATGTTTGGTATGCGATTCGCTCTTGTCAAATGTAAGACAATGTTACAGAACTGTAATACATTGACTCCTAGCTTAGAAATAGGGAGTGAAGTGGTAGAGGACGTTGACCGCTTCACTTATTTGGAAAGTTGCATCAGCCAGCCCCAACATGTTGATCGCTGACGAAATCTCAGCACGGATACAGAAGGCTCGTTTTGCATATGCCAGCTTACGTCGTCTCTGGCGTAGGTCTGATATCCGGTTGGCTATCGACTAAACGGCGTGTGTACTTCTCAGTGGTCCGCTCCGTCCTCCCTTATGGCTATGAGATTTGTCCATTGAGATTGGAAGACATTAAAGGACTGACTGTCTTTGATCACAGGTGCCTGCGTTCTATCTCCCATGTGAAGTGGTATAATAGGATGAGCAATATTGAGTCTAGGCGTCGAGTTCTAGGTAAGGAGTGGAAATCAATTGACGAGATGGTTAGGACATATGTTACTTATGCATATCCATCGCCTTCCTCGACAATGGGCAATGTTAGCTGACATAAGATGGATCAGGTCGGAAAAGAGTTAGCCGGCGGTGGTTAAACCAAAACATGCCTTCATCAGTCAATGAAATGCACAATAGTTAGTTTAAGCCACGTAGGAATGCGCAGACTTGCTAGTTCGAGTCCTCGGGACGGTGAAACCAATTGCTGGAGACAATTGGTGACATGCCTCAGAATTATTCTCAATAGCGCAGATGCCTCCACTCCTTGTGACTTATAATATACAATAAAACTATATTGTTCTTCGTTGTTATTATTCCTTTGTCTCACATCTCTCCATTTGGCATTGCTTTTTACTTAATTCTCTTTCATTGTGTGCTACATGGAGTGTGACGACTTGAACTACTGCACATCGGTGCAATGTTCTATGTTGAAAACAGTCAACTCTGCAGTCACGAGAAACCTGTTAGTGCACTATGTTATGATGTTAGCTAGGCTGTGAGACTTGTCGCATGACTATGGTAGAACCTAGGAAGCTAAGTTATATGATAACTCAGAACTTAGTGTAAATTATTCGATAGTGGCCGATAACTGTGTTTTGTTACTGAACAAGCACAGCCTCCACAACAAAATTCAAGTGAACAGAGCTATCTACCTACTCATTTAGACATCTGGCACAATATTACTGCCAAGAGATGTAGATGACTAATGGACCCGTACTACCTGAATACGCTAAGCAGCATTTCGAGCACATTATAAGACAGTAACCCAAATAATTCTGAGTGATTAGCATTTCCGCTGCAGTTTCGTTCAGTTTCTGAATACCATTGCTGTAAGTACATACATCACACTTTTATTGCACAGGTGTTTTGCTCACTGCACATACGTCTCATAAACTCAGCACTTTATGCATCTGCGTGTCTGAAATTACTATGTATATAGCGCGTACTCACTCCGCCAAATAACCTGGGTATAATCTGACATTCTACGCTATGCTTACGAGTTTTAAAAAAATCACTAATACACTTCTTTGATGGGATCATGTAATAACTCAAAACATTGTATGCATAAATGCACAAATTAATCGCAACCAATGCCAGCAATCATTTATACCGATTTCTGCTGCTACTACAATAAAACCTACTACTCAGAGAAACGTTATAAAAATAACAGAATATGAATTAGAACAATTTATGTACGTACAGAAGCATAGAGAATGCAAATCAACTTTGCACACTTGACAAAGTCATCAAAAACCACTTGCATTTTGAAATCTTATGTAACTATATTCAACTGAATAAAGACAGAGAAGAATTCAACAAAGACAACTGACAAATTAGGTGTCAAGTAGCTTTTATTAATTAAATCTTGTGCCAATGAGAAATGCAAAATTAGGACCGACGGTCTAACCAATGGTTGGAGGTTTTCCTCACATGGCTATGTGCAATCAGAATAATGGTGTCACATCTTCAGTGTATTGCAGTGAATGACTTTATTTGTCAATAACTATCAAACTGAGACCAAAGTAACAAGAACTACAACAATTACTATAATATTTGATGCTATGATGAAGCCTAATCTGGCCATTTAACATACTGATTGTCAATGTCAGAATGGCTTTGTTTGAAGTGACAGTTTGGTTTTCATGCTACTTTAACTGCCGTTGTCCTGAAGTATTAATTCACCGCATCCGGTAAAAACTAACTCCAAGGCCCGAACTTTTTGTGAAAATGCCTCGATCCTGAAGTATACACGAGAAAGTCGGTTGAGTAGCATCAATGTGCATCAGATGTTACCGTTGCTGTTCTATTCCCTCACCTCATCTACTACTCGCTGTATTGGAAAGAAATGTCTTCTTGTCCACTATATACAATCAGTGATTTAGAGCTTTTCGCCACTTGAATCAACTTTTCCTTAATCAGGTAAAAATATAAGTGTACTTTTCTTAGTTTATGTAGAAAGACTCCATATAAAAGGATAAGTGACATGTTACAGTTAATAGATGGAACGAATTTCAATGAACTGTAACTGATTCGCAGTACCTGAGTCAACTTCAGCGTGTGGCTCCCCTATACACATAGGGACTTTGAAAGGTGGGGAATTCTCAATATCATCAAGGATTTCTCTTAGTTCATCTTCAGTTATTCTTCTTGGGGCAGGAACCTAGAAGATATAAGTTAAAATCCTGACCCACTTTGTCGGAAATACATATGTTCACGAAAACCTTTTCATTCTTCTTCGACTTTAACTTGACACAAAAACCTGAAATTGAAATTACCTTAGGAATTATGTCTAACCAGGTTTTGGCACAATTATTATTGAGCTATTTTCGAAATCCTTTGCTGGCATCTTGAATACGGGTAAAAATGGGTCGGGAACCTACCTCATCCTTAACGATATCAAGTATCCCCATGTATATGACCAATAGGACTGAAAGAGGCGGGTAATAATTCGGCAAGGTGATCCACTTGTGCGACAAGGACAATGATCAATGCCAGGTAGTTTTGCAAATAGCCGTGTGAATCACTTGATTTTCTTGACCCTATTTTCGTTTTCACATGTCGTGTGACAAGTGCGCTATAAAGCCAGTGAAATAAATGCCTCACTTTTTAGTAGAGCGGCTTACAGTTAGGTGTCAATTAGTTTGCGGTTCGCTGAATACTGAAGATAAGGGTTTCCAAACGTGTACTTATCCTCGAGACTTTATGTTCGTTGGAGTTCCATTTTTTGAATGAAAAGACAGAAGTTTTTGGCGGTAAAATATTTTTGGACAGTATTGGCCTACTTCAGTCTTCACTCAACATCAGATGCTCACTTTCACTGTTTAAATCTAATTTTTAGGCTGAGCATTCGTGGTCAAGCACCGAGGGGCTTCAGTAAGTTGTTTCGTTACGTCAAGTCATCCGTGCACCATCCTTAGCTGGCTACGCAATCACCATAACACTACGATTCTGACCCAAAATATATCTCGTATATTTGGACAGTTAATTCGGTGTTTTAATATGTCTGGTGTCTAAGTAGACCAAACACTCTCAGAGTTGAGGGATAAGAAGTCACGTCCGTATACTTCATGCCTTTCATAAACTTCTACGTTAATTTGCTCGTGAAAGTCCTGCGACAAGGCGTTCCTCTGCTTTACAATTTTATGTGACGGACTGAGTTCCAGACGCCGTTGAATCGACTATGATTTTGGTTTTAAGTAATCTTTGCTTAAAACACAGAATGCCAAAATCACATTCTCTCTAAATAGTTAACAATTAGTCTGATCGATCCTATCTCTTTTTATGTACGAGTTTTAAGAATCCCTCAGTTTGTTTTGTCTCATTTCTCAAATTTCTGACCCAATGGGTGAAACACAAACTAGCTGCATGTATCGCATATTCTCAATGAGGCATTACGCTTCGCAAATAATACGCAAGGTGTTTCAACCCTCTCTTATCATCACTTAGTCTTATCACATCCTCGCTAAAAACGTATTTCATTTACCGCCCTTACAATCTAGCATTACTTGATCGGTTCATTTGTTTTCCTTGGCCTTTATCAACTGCTTCTACCTGAACATTTGTCTGTTTAATCATGCTGTTTTTCGTTATTCATGTTATCAGAGATCACCTCAATTTTTCATTCTGATTATTGATTAAATCATTATTGTTATCATTACTACCATTATGACCAATTAAGCAATTTATATTCACCATCTTATTATCCTATAGATGAACCACCATGAATAGTCTATATTTAAATTTTTATTTGTAAAGTTATGTATATTAGAGTCAATCCTGATGAGACCTAATGGTTGTTGTTCCAAATTATGTTCTCGCGCATTAACCGTTGATGTACTTCAGTAGCAACGTAATTTATCAGGTCTGCGGTTCGCGGCAGCTTTTAGGGGAAGTACAGCCATCAATATTACCAGGTAATGTCAGTTTTGATATCTTCTCTTTTGGTCACTAATAACAGAAAATAATTCTTCAATTTTATCTGCACAGCTGTGTGTAGAACAAGAAACTGAGTTGGTAAGAAGAGTCAAATTGTTCGTCTTGTGACTTGTGCCTCAAAAGGCTTTGCATGTGTCCACGAGGCCTAGATATTTTTGTGTACTATCACTGTGTACGCGATTCATTATGTTGTTTACTGCTCAGGCAGGTGATGTCCAATTTATGATGTATGATGTCCGGACCGAATGCGTCTGCTGCGGCAGACCTATGTGTAGTTGTCGGATTATTGTGTGTAGTGGTCTTACATCAAGCAGGCCTACTGATTCTGTTTGACCCAACTATTTCACCAGACTTTGAAGCAGAAAGAGGAGTCAGGCGCTTAGGTTAGATTACTGGCATTTTGGATGGGGTTTATATACTTCAACAGAATAAGCAGTGTCTGCAAGTTGAGTTTCAGAGTGTCAGAGATTTAAGATGTCCAGTTCTACAGGCAATTAGCAATATATGCGGATAAAAATGTGGAATTAGGGTATAAAATGATGTATGCAGATGCTACAAATGCAACGATGCATAATTACAAGTACTTAAGTCCGATGATTGTAGGGAAATTATTCGAGGCTGTTGAGGGTAATGGTGGTCAATTACAGGATGAATCCCAGGAACTCACTGAGTTTTTGGATAATTTGCTGATTTACAAGAATGCATTGATTTCGATGAATTGCATGAGTGACCTCAACTCGGGTTTTATACTAGAAGTAATAGCAAGACGTCTACCTACTCGACTGCAAAGAAAGTGAGTCAAGACAAGCTCCCGTATGGAGGATGAGGGTATCGAGCCAAAGTTCGACGACATTCTGAAACTGGTAAACAATAGTGTCAATCAATCTATGAGCGAGTTTGCCAGTATATTGAATCTAACCCCTAGAATAGAGCAGTTTGAGGGAAAAACGCAATCATTGATGACGAATAGGCCTCAGAGAGGTGGATATCGAGAAGGCTCCATGATGTCCAGTAATGCATATAGACCCAGTGAGTGTAACAGGTTTCGTAGTACATCCTCAACAGATAAGTTACAAGGTGGAAGACAAACACGGTTGTGTTTCTCACGTTTGGAAGAAGTGCGTACATAGGTGAACTGTGAACCAGTGAGCAAGTTCAGTGATAAGCTAAATGTAAACTCCAGACCTGACTCCGAATTGTGTGACGATAACGGTGCGGTGAAGAAGTCTGTAGTTACAACTGGTAAGCCATTTTTGAATGGAGTATCACAGAATAGAGTTATTGCTTCAGAGTGCAATTCTGACTCCACAAGTTTACAAGGTATTACTAGTCAGAGTGAAGGTATAAAATTTTTAGGGATTTGTGGGGAAGAACCCAAATCATCCACTGCTGTTATTAAAGAGTTTCAAAATGATGAAGTCGACCAGATAGATGATGGTAAATTGAATATTTGTGATAATGATCATGATACTTCACAGTTGTCTTTGGTTGATCATGATGAAATGAGGGATATGCCTACTACTGCTAAGTTGAATAAAGGTTCTTTACAACTACAACGTGAATTAGGATTAAATGCAGTTGCAGAAGGTATGGATACTAGTGAGACCGTCAGTGTAATTGATCAGCGTGTAGCCCACCTATCATCAGATGATAGTGCTAAACCCGAACTAGTAGTGAAAAACAGCAGTGGTGGTAATCTTGCAGTTAGACAACAATCTGAAAGCCGAAAAACAACAGCTTCTGAATCACCGCTAACTTCATCAACTGATATCAATCAGTCGTCGTTGGTGCTGTCATCCACAATGAAACAGACGCCCATCAACTCAAGTATCTTGTGCAATGACTATGCTAGTATCAGTTCGTTTGAAGGGACGAATATCAATGGTAAGTTTAGTGAGGATAAGCCAAGTGTAAACGAGAGAGTAACTGTTAAATTGACTTGCATGAATAAAGGCATTTCTAGTTTCAAGTTACTATTTGAATGCTATTATCTTTGGTGTAAATTACTCTGTGTCTGCGCCTGGTTGACCAGATACGTCGTGTGTTTGTTCGCCATCTATATTCTACGATACAATGGCATGAGCGTGTTACCGTTCAGATTTGAGGATATAGCTCATAGAAGGAAATCAGCAAATGAACTCTGCGATGATTTTCCAACCTAGGGCGTCAACCTGAGAAGGGCTGTAGGCGTACTGCTGTAAGTCCTACAATTCTTCAAAGGGTAGCACATCAATGAGCAGTGCAGCGTGCTTGGTGTATGATTTTGTACATATGTTCATATTGTATATACTGAATTGGTATCATTTATCATCTAGCTGTTGGTAATTCTGTTTGTGTCCGGACATTCCACATCTTACAATCGTCAACCTGAGAAGGGTTGTAGGCGTACTGGTGTAGGTCCTGCAATTCTTCGAAGGAATTCCACCAAGACATGATCCGCGAGGTTATTTGTACTGTTTGTATATACGTGTGGTGTGTCATATAAATTGGTGTTTTTGGATCCATTGTGTTTACTTGTTGTTTTCGTACCTTGTTGTTATTGCATAATTTTGTTAAAATTTTCGTCGTGATTACTTCTGAAGTTGTTTCGAGTCTTCTACATCCATGAATGAATTGGTTGACGTTAAGGACAGCAGATGGGTCGTATACGCCGGGGAGGCTAGGCTATTGCTGAGAATGAAATGCACACGGAGATAATTGTTAGCTGCGGTCCGACACGCCGGGGAGAAAGAGTGTGAACGACTGAGGCTCACATGCGTCACCGTTACTAGAATTGAGGCAGAATGAGTGACAAGCGATTGCAGTGGTAATTGGTAGTGAGTGGATGAGAGGATGAGCGTAGAGTATCATGAGGTGGTGCTATGGTCACGTTGCATTCTGCAAGAGTCTTTCTAGCAAGTGGCGATTGTGTTGCAAGATGTCAAGAGGAGGTCTCTGTCTGGAGGCGCAGGTCGTCAGCGATGTGTGAGATTGTGCTGTGGGTATGCTTGTGGTGTGTTGGCTTTTCTGTTTGTTTTCCATTTCAGCTCTGTCCGTGTGACCCAGGTTCTCGCAATGGCATCCAAGTCAACGTGTATTGGTCGTGGAGGAAAAAAGGGGTTGGATCCCCTTTATGCCGGGGAGTGTCAATGGAGTTGAAGATTGAACGATCAATTCCCGGTTGTTTGCTCAAAATCAACTTCCCCAATTTTCGCGGAGGCATCAATACGACAGTCATCGTCTCATCGGTCGTTGTTCAGAAAGAAGTCAGTAGCAAACCATCAGAAGTAATCTTGTGATTTATTATTGTAATATTTGTTCACAGACCTTAGTCATACTTGATTTATATGTTGGTGTAACAATACAGAATACTCAAGTTAACAATTGGTGTTTTGGTTTTTTCGTCCGTCATTACCAAGCGTTTCTGAGAAACTTCAAGCGACAGCGTGAGCCCGAGCGTAGCAAGAGCTGGTCATTAACGGTTTACGATACGTGA